TTTTGAACACAAATATATTTTCTCTTTTGCTTTTAATTATGTTACTTGGTGGTTTAGAGAGTCTAAATTGAAAGCACAAAACTCAGTTGCTCATTTTTTAAATTGCAATCTGACAATGTCACAGAAAGAGCTGGTGGGCAGCCTGTTTGGAAACGATATCTGAATATCTAATGAGGTTTTTCTAAGCTACCTTCCAGGTGAGGAAAGCTAACTGGCTACTGGCTTTTTTTCTTGCCTCTCACTGATGATGTTGTAATATTAGTAGAATTAAAGTATGAGAATAAAAGAGTAATGACAGAATTGTTGCTGTTAAATTAATCGAGCGTATTTCAATATACAAGCATGTGTGCTCTTCCCATGTCTTGCAACATGTCTTTTCTGTTTTCCAAAATTAATCATCTAGACTTAGCTTTTAATATTTGAGGTAATTAATCTACATGCTGCTACCATGTAGCAGTTGTTTGCAGATATTGGGGAAAGGAAAGTGCCATCATTTGTGTTGCTTCCTTTCCCTATCATAGCGTCCGTCGGTAATTTTCCTGCCTTGTTTTTCCTATCATGATGTCATGCTTTAGCCTTGAAACCAATGCCGCTTGTCACAACCTAACATATTTATGAATTCGGTGTGTTAAGGTCGCAAGCCATATTTTGTGTGATTTCTTCCTCTTTTCTTTGATGGTCTTCAATTGAATTTTGTTTTCACCGCAGTTCATATATGCCTCGCAGTTTTATAAATTTGATATATAATGATTACTGCTGTTATTATTGTGTTCGGATCATATTAGGTGTATTTGGATGGATAGTTACCTTTGGATGCATCATTTTGAACACAGGAATGGAAGGTGGCATGCTCAACCATATTAGCCGTGTTCAGATGGATAATTACGTTCTTAGGTATTCCTTCACAAGCCTAATCTTTGTCTATATCAGTGTTTGGTTGTCCATGTCGAATGATATAGTTTCAGAATTGTTTACCTTAGTCCTTGCTACAAATAATACTCCTCTCCCATATGATTTGTTCGGAATTAATTCCCAGTTCAGTTAGTTGCACACGCTGTACACGTTTGCTTTATTCGGTTTCAGTCAACTTCGTTTCCTTTTCATACATTTTTTCTCAAAATTTATGGAAGATCTATGCTTAATACATGAGTATTGAGAAGCTCTATATATGAGGAATGACTGAACTGCGAAACCAAGCTTGAAAACAGCCCTCCTTCCCTGTGTTCCATCTAAAATAATACAGCTCAGAGGCTTCACCTGTTTCTCCATCCCCTCCCACAACATCATAGGTAGTGTTCTCTTTTTAGTTATTATGTGTACCGGTTTAAGCTCAGATAAGCATTTGGTTTGTGCATACCTTACGGTGCTCAAATTGAGACTATACCTGCAGTGATGGAGAAATGGTGGGAGGAAGGGTAGCAAACGCTCAACAGAGTACATGGTAAAATCTTGCTGCACCCTAATACTTTGATTTGACATAATTTTTTTTCCTTGGACGTGTTTGATTTTGTTTATTCCCTTTAATTTGCTGTCATTCGCAAGAGCAAATAGGAGGATGTGTATCCGATTCCTCCACACACAAAATAATATGGTATGCTTTTTTTGTTACCTGCGTTTGTTAGCGTAATCAACACTATGTGCACTGTGTTCCACTACATTGATCCACCAGCATTAGTTCCTAATTTTGCTTTTCCTATGTCAGTCAATACATGTTGTTTGTAGATTTAGATTCGCAATTTACAAGCTACTTGCTATTCTAAGCTATATGCGTGGTCTTGCTATGCAGACATGTCTCAATTTTACATGGCAGCCCTCATTTCTTTTTCCTATGTCTAATTGTGATTGTAGTGTTTTTTTATCATCTTTTTTCTCTAAACACATGACACTGTTTGTTACCTCAACCCCATACCCATTATATGCTGATGGTGTGGTGTGGATCACTGGAACTATGATGAAAGCCTCTTTGCTTATGATCTGTTGTACTAAGCATTTGGATTTATTTTTCCGATTAAAAAACAGATTCATTTTTCATCTTCCGTATAGGCTGTCATTGTTTCTGCATGATTTATTTCAAATTCTGATATGCGGATGTACTTCATATTTTTTTGTTACACATACTGTTGAAATTAGGAATAGCAAAATGGAAATGCCCTCCTTTTTTTACGTGTACTATGACTGATCTAAGCTATGTGCATAATTAGTTCCTAATGGCATTAATCTCACATCCTTTTTTTTGGTTTCCAGGTATAATCACATAAGGCCGTAATGTTAAAGGGTACTCCAAGTATTTTTTTTTTCCTCCCCTTTTGTTAGGCCTTGTCCCTTGACTGATCTTCATCTATGTTCCACTATAGTAATCGACATCAAACCATGTATGCCTTGCTGCGGCTTGACACTGGAGGCAGCAATGCCATGTTCCTAATGAATAATCATGGTTCATGGAAAGCCACACTTTTTTGAAAAAAAAGGATTTTCCAAGTATTTGGTTTCCCCTCTTGCTTAACCTTCCGCGCGATGGCGCTCGGGTTTCACTAGTGCACCTGTAAGACGATTTTATCTTGGCATAATAAGAAAATTATGATTCTTTATAAGAGTCATTCTATGGTTAAGCTTTTCAAAATGTGTTTTCGTTGTTCTAGAACCAAATACCTAGTGGCCTCCAAAATATTGTAAATAAATGTTAAAGCTCAAGCATGGCATATTTTTGTTGTGTCTGGTATCATAGATTTTACAATTTTAAAATTAATTTTTTCCTGGAATGCAATATCTGAGTTTTTGTTTAAATTGTTTAGCCTCAAAATGTTTTTTAATCTAAAAAATCATTTGAATTCATGGTTCAGAAAGTATTTTTTATGTAATTTCTCAGCATACATACTCAAGTAAAATCCAAAGTTCCATGCATGCTCAAAATTAGGTTTATTTGAAATTAAATTTGAAAAATTCAAAATAAACTCAAAATTTTCATGGATGTTACAGATAATGGACACGTATCATGAAAATTTTAGCTTTTCTCCGATGCCTTTAAATTTGATTTCAAAGTGAAATTTAATTTTGAACATGTGCATTCATCTGCATAGACAAATGCGTCTTTATAACATGCATTTAAATGTAACTTTTCTTCTTAAAATGTAACTATACCAAAACCAAAGATTAACGGTGCCATCCTTCTGGAGTCGGATCAATCCGGACGATATAGGCATGTTTTGCGGTGTTCTTTGCCTTGCATGCAATAGACAAACAGATAAGGAAGCTAATGCATCTGATACAGCCCATATAGGACATGTTTGGTATAGTTTCACTAACAACTTCATCATGAGCTGCTGTGAGCTGTTTTTGTCAAACACTTTTTTTTTCAAAACAGCTTATGGGGAAGCTCCTTTTTTATGTTCTCACAAAAGAATAAAGAGATGTAGAGCTGAAAAGAAGTAGCTTTTCACAGCTCTCCCATTGCCCAAATAGTTAGTGAAGTTATTTTGCGAAACAGTTTTTTTCAAAACAGCTCAACTTCACCAAGAAAGCTGCCCACGAAATGCCAAATAGGGCCATAGTCCTAGTTTTTTTTCTTACTTCTTCTATTTCAAATTGTAAGAAATTACAATTTTTCTAGATATATTAATTTTACTACGTATTTAAATATAGTGTATATCAAAAGTATTAAAAAACTATATAAAAAAGCTAAAATGACTCACAATTTGAAATGGAGAGAGTAGTTATTTTGATTGTCGAATTATATTAAAAATGATAGGTTGAAAATTTGAAATCTGTTTGAACTCTTACCTTCTAGGAGAAGTTAACCAGAGTAGGTAGCAAGGCTTGTATATAGAACTAGAAGATACTCCGCGCGTTGTTGTGGAGATTGCGAAAAATAAAAAAAAATAAGTAGAGATGACATGAATAGCTTATATTAAGAGATTAAAAATTAGTGACATGACATATCTATTAATGAAAGATGATGTGGATAGTTAGTGGAACATGATGTGGATGTCTTGCATGTTGAGATAGAACTTGAGATGACGTGGGTAGCTTGCATTGAGAGGTTGGAAATTAGCGGCGTGACATGACTACTAGTGAAAGATGGTGTGGGTGTGTTGCATATTGAGATAGGACTTGAGATGACGTGGGTAGCTTGTATTAAGATGTTGGAAGTCAGTGGTATGATATGGCTATTGTGGAAGATGATGTACATGTTATGTATGTTGGGATAGGACGTATAGTGGTGATTCGTAGATAGAGAAAAGGCGAAGACGACACTGCATCAGTTCGCATGCGACTGAGTGGAGCTCTGTTCAGTCTTGTGTTCAGTTGCTGGCTACGAGATGGACTCATGGAGAAGCAAGAGAGATGGCGCAGAAAAAGGAAGTCTTTCTGCATCTTGGACCCACGCAAGTAGGCATGCCATGCCATGCTTACCCGGTCATCAGTATCTATCACGCGAGTAGGCATGCCATGCCATGCTTACCCGGCCATATCAGTCACAACAAACCTTCACGCTGCCCACCTGATCAGCCGATCCATGACCTAGCCGCCGCCTCTCCTTGCCTGCCAACCCAATCCATATCCACAGTCCACCCCAGCTGAATTATTCATGGCGGCTCTATAAATTACTAAGCAGGGCACAGAGATCCTTCCTTCCTCTCTCTCCTACAGATCGACAGAAACACTCCTCTTCCTGTTCTTGGCTTCTTGCAGCCTGCCGTCAGACGGCCTTCAGCTGCACCCCGATCAGTTTGCTTGGATCGTTGTTACCACTGGACATGACCTACTCGTCCTTCTCCAGTGACCGGTACATGATCCTCGTCAGTCCCTAGTTGATTGAATTCCTCCTCATCCTCAAGATTCAGTAGATCCTTTCTGTTGGATCAATGACGATGCGTCCGTGCTAACAATCGTCTGTTGTCTGATGAGACTCTTTCAGGCCTGTCGGAGGTGCAGCAGGTGGGGCGAAGGACGCGCCGGCCGCCGCCGCCGCGGGATCATGGTCGCCGTCGGTGGAGGACGCGATGAGCTTCGTACAGATGGTGAAGGAGGCGTTCAAGGAGCGGCACCCGGACAAGTACCACCTCTTCCTCCGCGTCATGGACGACTTCAGGAACCAGCGGGTCGGCATCGCCGAGGTGGCGTCCACCGCCAAGGCCCTGTTCCAGGACAGCCCTGACCTGGCGCTGGGATTCAACGTCTTCCTGCCCAAGGGCCACAGGATCCAGGTCGGCCTTGATGAGCTCGCCGCCTGTTTCATCAGGGACATGAACCTGGACGACGACGACGACGGCCACTGAGGCTGACTCTGTTAATTACTCTGCCTGCGTGTGCTCGCCACACGGCATCTATTTTTCTGTTAAATTTTTCATTTTCTCCCCCATTTTGTTTCTTGCTACCGATTGTACTACTCGCCAACGGTTCCATCCTATGTACATAAATTTTGCCTTGTCGACTCCTTTCGAACATCATCACCTGAGAAAAAAGGGCTCAAAATCTCTCTTCGTTGTCTAGAACTACCCTTGTGCAAGGAACTAAAATTTTGTCAAAATTGCACCTATGCAGCAACAAATTTGTCTTGATTAGTATACACCACTATGCCGTCTTTATTCATTTTTATTTATAGATAATTCCCCACGCGTTGCTGCGGGAATTTTGATTCACCAAATTTTAGATGTGTATATGATGGATAAAGGAAAGAGTAAAGTACTATGATATTTGATTAGGATAATAGAGTATGACAGAAATATTAGGAGTGAGATGGGAAAATTTTGTAGGTAATAGTAGTAACTTATGTATAATCAATAATTTGCTGATGAAATTAGACAACCCAGCCGCTTTGATCTAATCCATATCAAGACAATACACTTGAAATACGAAGATTGAACAAACATAAATACCATTATCAAATGCACTTCACAGTCAGAGTCTCAGCTAACTCGTCGATTAAATCTGACCAACGTGCATATGAGATTCAGTTGCAAAATATGGAATACATATTCACAAATAATTTATTTAGAGTAAAGTTCATGGCCAGTCCTCGAACTTGTACTAGTGTGTCATTCCGGTCCTTGAACTTAGAAAGTGTGTTATTCCGATTCTTAAACTCTATTCGGATCTTATATTCATTCAAACAGGTCTGGGCCACATGTCAGCTCTCAGCTTGTTCGGTTGGCTGGTTCGTATTGTTGCTGGTTCGTGAAAAAGTACTGCTGGCTGGTTTGTGAGAGAAAAATATTATTCCGGCTGGAAATTTACGATCGTTTACGACAAGCACAGCCAACCGAACAGGCTGTGTATCTGCCTCTCGGACGTCGTTCAGGCGGACAATCCTAGCTCGTGCTGCTCGAGGCCGTCGTAGAGGTGCTCCCTCCCACCCACGACGCATCGCTCGAGCGCGGCCGTGATCTCCACCAGCGGCGGCAGATCGAACCAGCCCATGCTCCCCGGCGGCTGCGTAACCAGCCACGCAACACGTTCGTGAGAAGGCAACATGGGTCTAGGGTGCCCGGCCACAAGCAGCACGCTAGCGCGCGCACGACGGGTACGCCTCCTGCGCTAGCCGCGTCACGGCCGTGCCCTTGTCCATCACCATGTCGTGCCTGATCCCGGACACACCGACGTAGTAGAAGTTCGGCGCCTGCAGGTTGCGCACGAGCGGCACCCCACACGGCGCCCTCCGGCACCGCCTCGCTCCGCCCGAGCACCAGCGACCCGCCCACGCCCGTCGCCCCGAGGACACCTCGTACTCGCAGCAGCCGAATCGCCTCACCCAGAGATGCGCAGCGTCCGACAGATGGCCGAGCCGCACGACACGCCGGAGAAGGTCGCCGACGTGTCGTGGTGGAAAAGCGGAGCACTCTCAGATGACGTCGCTGCCGGAGTCCACCACGAGGTGCTGCTCCGTGGGTGGCGAGCCCACGTCCACTTGGACGAAGTACTTGCCGCCGCTGCCCTCGTCGAGGCCCGACACCACCTTCTCTACTCCGTGCCGAGAGAAGAAGTCCGTCGGCTGGTACGTCGGGGACAGGCGTCTCACGATCACGAGGTACTCGGCGCGTGCACTGTCACGGGCCATGAGATCAACCATCACGTGGAGACGCACGGGATACGTCGCGCCGGTGAATGCGTCAGGGGCTGCGGGCTGCGCCACGTGGCGAGTGCTCGCTCGCGTGCCTGCGTGGAGGCGGCAGCAGCGGTCGACGCGCCCACGCGGCCAAGCAGCGGCGGCATGACAGCGGTATGAGCCGAAGAAGACTGACTTTTTTTAAAGAACCCTCATAAAGTTTATAAATATTTGGGGTTTTTTTGTGTCTAGGTGATATTATATATAAACCTCACCCCACGCTCGGGCACAGATCCATACCTGTTTAGATGAATACAAGACCCGAAGAAAATATAAAGACCGGGATGATACACCCACGCAAGTTTCGGACCAACTATGAACTTTACTCATTTATTTATTTGGGTCATCTTGTAGTTCCTGCTCGCTAGCAACTCATCTGACTGAACATGCAAACCTACTGAAATAGCGATGACCTTTGAGCAGCACTGCAGCAGGAACATGTGCTCTCCCTGTCGAGCAGCAGCAGTAGCACGCAGAACGGTGATGAGGCCTTGTGCATGGTCACCGTCGTGCCCCTGGTGAAGGCTTCCTGACATGTCGATGATGTGGTGGGCTATTGACAGAGCTGCAGGCCGCTGTAACCGACCGAAGCTGTTTTTTGTATAAAAAAAAATAGATTCTACAGCCAGCCAAGCGAACGAGCCGTCGATGGGGCAGTTGTGCGACGCGCGGGGCAGGACTCCTCGTGGTTCAGCTTATCTGTATACCGAACGACCTCATGACAGCCATACCTCTCGAACCTGCTGGAGGTGGTCGAGGCCGCTAGGAGCTTCTCGAGTGGCTGGCAACGGATGTTGCCGATGGACTCGGTACAGCTTCAGGACTTGCCAGGTTGCCACTCGAGTGGAGGCAACATTTGTGTGGAAGCAAAGCATTTTCAAATAGGAAAAAGGTGCTTACCTGCGCACTGATGCTCGTGGAAGGAAGGCACCCTCGCAGCTGGGAGATTTATAGGTTTGTAGGGTTGGGCGGCTTAGCCCCTAGTGAGATTTCCTGGATGCACCCAACTAATGTTTGCCTGTTTGCCTGTTTGAAGACATTGCAAATTTTTACAAGTCAGGCTTAGCTAGTGCGAGAAGTGAACAACCAAACTGTGTAATAGCATAGTCTTAGTAAAGAAACGAAAACAGATCGGGTAAACCGTAGTGGAAACGCACAGATCGGTCGTTCTCCCGTAGCCAGGCTAGCGTGGGCAGCGGGGGTGAATCGCGTCACCTCCCTTTCATCGACTCGCGATGCTCGCGATGCTCCCCGCCGCCGCCATCTGTTGCCGTCGACGTGGGCTCGCGCCGCCCTCCGCTGTCGCCGAAGTGGTCTCGCGCCGCTCCCTGCCATCGCCGGCGCAGGCTCGCGCTGCAGCATCCGAGGGCCGAGGTGGGCGCGGTGGCGTGCTCCGAGGGCAGAGGAGCGAGGTGGCTGCGATGGTGTGCTTCGAGGGCGGCGCGACCGTGAGGAGGAGCTCAACTGTCGTCGCGGCGAGCTGGAGAAGGTAGTCGCGGCGTTGGAGCATGTGGTGGTAGGCGCACGCCGCTCACTGCCATCGCCGGCGCGGGCTTGCGCTGCAGCAAGAGGGCCGAGGAGCGAGGAGGCCGCGGTGGTGTCCGTGCGCCGGAGGAGCGAGGTGGTGTCCGTGTGGCTCCTCCGCGCAGCTCCTCGACGGACATGGCTGGTCAGATGCTGTCCTCCTCCGCGCAGGGTTGCCGCAGCAGCTAGACATCCGCGCAAGCCCGGGAGCCCAACGACGTCTGCCCCTGCTCTTGCGCGGCCTGCACGCGCCATGGCTGCTGCCTTCCTCCTCCTTCGCTCGAGCAACAGCCACCTCCGTTCTCCGCTCCCACCTCCGTGGTTGGAGATGTGCTAGAGCTCCTCGCCGGAGATGAGCGCGAGCGTGACGCCGTGGTTGGAGATGCGCCAGGGCACCGACGCCTCATTGCTATCGGCGAGGGGAAGGACGACGCTACAGTGCCATGGCGACGGCATATGTGCTGGCTACATCTAGATGGCAGAGTTGCCCGTGACATGTTCAACAAGATGCCTCAACGAGGTAACCTTACGAATGGAGATGAGGTGACTGTATTCGAGCTAACCAGGCAACCAAACATGATCCGGATAAGCCAGACTTAGCTAAGACGAGTAAACCAAACAACAACACCTTGTATTGGGAAAGCCAGGCTTGTGTTGCACTAGCTTAGTTGGCTAGCCAGGCTAGAACTAAAACGCGAACCAAACACATCCATATTGAGGCCAGAGGGAGAGGAATCGAAGAGACACTGATCCAAGGAGGCATAATCACATTAATAAACCTGACGTGCCGCATGAGTTGATTTTGAAACTGATAATTGATAATTTGATATGTATGGTATGAGGCACGGGAGTCATCATGGTGAAGGAGAAAAGGTTGTGATGCAGTTTGATGTGCATTTAGTGGAGAAGATCATGTGGCCACGTAGTGGAGCCATGAAGATATGAAGACTGCGCGCTGAAATTTGATGACGTGGTAGCACGAGGAGCGAGAGAAATATTGTAGTGGGGATATCCTCTTCAGTTATAGAAGATAGAAGATTCCTTTCTCATTAATTGGCTGGTAAAGGGCAACTCCAAAACACTAGATTCCAAATTGTAAGATTTAGCTATCATGTAAAATAGAAAATATATAAAAAAATCATCATACAACGGTGTAGGTAATTTTTTTTTTGTCCATATTTGAAATCTAGAGGCATCCGGCAATCAAGGTCTCCAGACTAGAAGCAACAAACGGACGAATAGCAAGGCAAGCATTTTGGTCCTTCCAACAATTAAATAATGAGAAAATGAATAAATAGAGAGGCCTAATGCACAACATGGATGGTTATGTTGATTGGTAGATTTATGGATCATATGTAGTAGTAGCTCTTTTTTTCCAACACGCGCCTCCTTCTGCTCAGCCAAAAGGGTTGTTTGGATGAAGCCCATGTCTAGACCATGTCCTAAGCACCTCTACCAAGCCCACGCTCACCCACGCTCAAGAAATCGGTCACCTAGCCTCCAAACACCTTCCGGCAACTTACAAGCAACTCAAATGCCAAGCAGGATCTCAAACAAACATGCCTAAAATCTGCTCAGCCAACGGTTTCTTTTGACCGCCTCATGCCCGTGAGTCTTGCAACTCCATGCCTGCTAGTCATCACGACTGGTCTAGCTGGCCATGCCTAGGCCCAGGGTTATTCTCACTTTTTAAGAAGTCAAATATTTTCAACTTTGACCAAATATATATAAGAAAATGTTAATATTTAGAAGACATAATTAGTATTATTAGATAAATCATTGAATATATTTTTATAGTAAATTTATTCGATATACAAATATTACTAATATTTTAGATAGATCTAGTTAAATTTAACAAAATTTAAGCACAAATTTCATTGCTCGACACTTTTTAGCAGCGTCTCTAACTAGTCAAAGTCCAATTAAATTAGTACATGTCTCAATAAGCCCATATAGGATATATGTGGGCCGTGCTTCCCGTCTCTAGGAACACGCGGGCCGCGAGACAAAGGACACGACTAAGCATAATTGTGGGCCATCGAATCTCATCCCCGTTCTGGGCTTGGGCTGGGATGTACGTGTCCCTGTCACGAATGTCGTGGAGCTACCGGGCCCATGATCCAAGTGACCTGTCCCCAACTTTCCGTTGACTGCTGTATCTCATAAGAATCGTAGTCACACACGTACACCATCCCATGCCCACCCCCCTGCTTTTACTTTCACTGACATGTGGCCTCCAGCACCGACCCACGACCTGTGGGTCCACATGTCATAAACCAAAATGACTTTCTGCACGTGCGCTGTGTCGACTGATGCCTCACCGCTTCGTCTTCCCCACGACCCCATCCCCCATTTGCCTTTCCCCTCCTCTCGACACCACCAACACCACACCACACTACTCCACCGCCGTTCGAATATTCCAAGCTTGAGGGGAGGAGAGCCGAGCGCAGAACCCTAATTGCCTCTATCGATTGCTAACAGGTGTGCCTCTTTCTTCGGCTTCCTCCCCAGCGGCCCAGCGGCCGTCCTTCCTTAAAATACGGGCATTCTAGCTGTTGCTGTTGCGGGCTGCTGCGCCCGCCGATTCGAGTCGCGCTTCTTAACGCTCTCCACTGCCATTGCCTTGTGCTTGGCTCAAGCTATCTGTCAGTCGTTTGCATTTGGCTTGTAGTTTCGTGAGGTAGTCTCAGTATTTGGTTCAAGCTAGCTGCCAGCTGTTGTGCCTTGTTCGAAGGCTTTTTTTCTTCTTGTCCAGTTGTGAATTGTGACTGTGGTCCGATTGGGGATATATGACCTGCGCCTTCTGAATCCTATCCCAATGCATTTCGATGCAACAGAGTGGCCGGTCTTTCTGCAGTGGCAGCAGAGTGTTGCCATCATTATTATCGTGATTCAGTATGCGTGTGGCTGTTCTTTAGTTTCCGACATTCATTATTGCGCCATCATCGGTTGCAATTCGTTCTAGTTCAAAATATGTCTTGCTTCCAGATTACTGAACTCGTGCTATACAATTAAGTCTTTTTAATTGTTCCTTGAGATGTTCAAGGCTGCTATTGGCTGGAAGGAATTCGTTTGAACCCTTGTTTGGCACTACGCTCAGTCAGTTCAGTTGATTGGTTCATCCTAACGAAATGACTTGCTTCACACGTTTTACCTGAGCTTCTTTTTCCTGTTTGGGGAATACTTCTTGATTTTAGAAAATTGGAAATGATTGCCCTTACATCATAATGGAAAGCAGGCATGGTTGGTGCTTTTGTTATTGTGTTTGGTGTTGTGGTTGGCATGTACTGAAATTCCACTCTAATCTGTTGGCTTTGGCCAATCATATAAAAAAACGTTGGTTACAAGCCTAATGACACTTCCTGGTAGCTGCTGCTGTTCTGATTTTCTGTTGACACAGTTCAGAGGCAAATTGTAATGTAGTTGTTTGTTGGTCTTAGTTGAGACTGCTTATTTTCTGAGAAAGGTGTGGTAATATTTCTTTAATGATGGTAATGTCTTCTTCTTTTGCAGCTCAGACCTCAGAGGCAAAGGAGGTACAATGCCAAGAGCAAATGAGATGTTGAGAGCAGATTCAAGAATGATGGTGATCTTTGGTGCCTTGACATCGAAACCAGAGCAGCTGACATTTGAAGAATCCCTCAGATTTGTCAAGAAAGTGAAGGTGAGTTGAATGTTTTAATAGTATCTTATGTCATCGCATGATTTTCATCTGTGCGTGGTCAAAACGCCTATCCTGAGTTGTTGCCCCGTCTAGTAAGTTGCAATGATTTTGCTGGTATCATTCACTTACAATATAATACTGAATCTCATCTCATGTTTGGATGTATACTGAGTTACCAACTATCTGAAATCTAATGTGATTGGAGGCACAGTTGTGGGTTTCTAAGCTTGGGATTGTGCAATGTGGTGGTGTCTGCACGTGTATTCCTACCTGTGAGATCCTGCTGATACCTGAGTCTAGGATTTTGAATGAACAATTTTCTGAATGTTGTGTTTTCTTTTTAACTTATACTCGCTCCGTTCCATACTATAGTTAACTTTAGCATTGTCCTAAGTCAAACTTATCTAACTTCGACCAAGTTTTTAGAAAAATATGACAACATCTACAAGTTCAAAAAAAAATGCCCTATCAAGACATATGTCATGGTACATGTTTTTTAAAAGTGCTGGTAGGAGTTCTTAGTAGCTTGTAATGATACTAGTTTGTTATTATAATTATAAATGTCGATGCATTATTCTATGTTGGAGAAGCTTGACTTAGGACAAGGCCAAAGTGAACTATAATTTGAAACGGAGGGAGTAGCAGACATAGCAATCAGCATGGTAACTTGCTAGCCTGCCCTGCAGGTAGCTTCTAATGAGTGATTGCTCATCTTGTAGTTTAGCTCGTTGCCTGGGAATTGCAACCGCAGTTTTTCAAATTATATAAACTGGAGCATCCCCAAAAATATACTAGTTGTTTAAACAATTAGTGGAACAGAAATGAGTGAGTTAATTAAGAATGCAAAGGTACATGGGAAGAGAGACTCTACCAAGAGACCTTTTTGACTGTGAACTCATTCAAAAGTTCTGCTGATCTCAAATGGAACAAATCGGAGGCTTCCATGATGACTTTAGACCACTTCTAATATATCAGATAAGTTCGTAGTATAGATTCTAGATCATGCTGAATCTGTGAATCAGACCCTTTTTCAGCATTCATGTAATCATGACCGAATACCATATACCTTGCATCAACCTCCAAGTAGGATGCTTACATTTGAATGATGCTTGGTATAGTTCATGACTTCATGTACAGCTATAGTTCTTACCTTTTTCTATATTCCTTTCATCTATTTGGACATGAGTGACATATAATAATATTTGCACAGCAATATCTCAGTTACTCGTCCTTCTCATGACCTTGCTTCACAGGCCCGTGATTACATGCTGTACTTGTCATTATTTGACATTCTTGGCAGAATGGAATTATCCCAGCTTGATGCCTACCGAGAGGTATGAGTATCATCCTCTCCCTGGCCACATTTACTGAAATATGAGTGGACCCCTATGTTCTCATTGTTCTCTGTTTGTTCTCCAGTTACAGCTGCTGTTTCATAATCACCCAGATTTGTGTGAAGAGCTTGAGAAGTTCAGACCACCGGTGCCTATAAAGCAGGCGACAAACAACATTTGGCCCTGGGTCATTGTTTGTGCTGTCCCATTGGTTGCAGTCAGCCTGATCCCGGCGCTTGGGAACCCAGTACTGTGGTTTGTTCAACAAACTATTGGTGAAAAAATAGCCGTCTGACTGAAGAACCACTGCGGTGCATATATCTGCAGTTGACCTCTTATCTGTGCCATCACAATTGAATTAATATATTGTCTTTATATATGTGTGTGTATATATTATTAGAGTAGTATCCTGGAAGGAAAACTTGTGTTCTTGGTCACCAAGTACCACTCGGCAAGAAATTTATGCCCTGTTCGTTTGGGTTGATTTGGCTTATAATCCATGGCTGAAAGTACTGTTGGCGGGTTTGGTGTGAGAGAAAAATATTGTTTGTTGGCTGATAAGTTATGGCTTATAAGCCAAATACGACCAAGCGAACAGGCTGTTAGTCGGTACTTGCTGGGAGCGCAACCGTGCAAGCCCACCAAACATTACCCGTTTGGCCATTTGAGTTGGGTTTTAACGCTGAAATTTGGCTTATACTGATGCTTATGTTGATTTGTTGTGAGAGAAAATATTGTGCATTCGTTGAAAAGTACTGCTGAAGTCAAGCGATCAAGGCCTTGCTCCCATGGAATATTGGAATCTCTTTTGCCAGCTATGACTAAGCCCAGGGTTGTTATTATGCTGTGAGTTATGGGTTCACCTCCTTTTTCCATCGATGATCTGATCAACATTATGTTAGATTTTGTTACACTCTGGAAGAAAATACGCTCGATCGGGTATGAAGAAACACATTAATGATTAGTTGAGACTATCATTATGCCTGTGGATTAAGTTTCAAGGACTAGTTATTATGCTATATGGAAATGGAATCCCGTTAGAATAAGTTGCCGTCCGTGTGACTTGTTACAGACTCCATTAGCATGTTTGTTCGCTCGTATACGAGCGTGAATTATAAGCTAGAACAGTATTTTTCTCTCATATCAAACCAGCTAGCAGTAAATTATCTACGATCGTTTACGACGAAACGGACAGGCTGCATAACAGAATTGATCTTTCTTGACCTGAAACAATGAACACGCTAAGAGTGCCTGAGATAGTGTTGCAGAGAGTAAATAGCTCTGTCAGAGATAACCATGATCTAATCTGATATGGCTCAGTACGAGTACGTTGATAAGCCGGTTCGGCTGGTATTAAAGCCGGCTGAAGTTGTTTTGTTGTGAGAGAAAAATACTGTAGATTCTAGCTGATAAACCGGCTGATAAGTTCAAACGAAGAGGCCCGAGATCGCGCTGCTGCTACACTTTTTATGCCGGGTTTATGACTATTATGAGCACTTCGCTAGTACCAACAGTCGGCCTGATCACCTGACGCTGCTTCATTAGTTTCGGTGGTTTAGGGCGACGAGCCTCTACGCTGAAAAGTAGGGAAGGTCATTTGCAATCTACTATTCCTTGTAGCAACCATGTTTACTTGGGAGAAGAAAGTTTTTCACTGGATTATACAGGTCAAAGTCAGAGGCGGCTTGGACGCGCACGCAGACTCCAATGACCGGCATGCTGGCACCGCACCAACACGCTACGTAAAGCGGCCTGGAATGGGAGTCCGCGCACTTGTGTTTGACGTCATAGAGCTTTTAGTCGGCTCGCTTTGTACAGGATTTGAGGCATAGAGCTTTTAGTCGGCTCGCTTTGTACAGGATTTGAGGCATGTATATATTTACCATTATTATGGATGACATCTTACATAACTAACATATAAGTCACTGACATGGTATTTTTTATACCATTCATATCGTAGCAGGTGACACTGTAGCATCCCGTCGTTTTTTAAAACAATTATCTTCGGACGTGGTAATATTAAGAGGCTGGTTCCATAATAACTATCTGCTAATATTATCCCTTTTACATCTATATAAACAGTTGTAGCTAATAAAATAGCTAATTGTTAGCCGGGCCTTTAGATAATAACTATCTTATTAGTTGAACCAAATCAGATAATAGCAGCTAATAATTATCTTGATAGCATTTTGTATTAGTTGTACATCCAAACACCCTCAAGATAATAGTTAGCTAGATAATATTAGATATGATTATTACTCAGCTAATTATTAGCAGATAATGAATCAAGAGTGGCTAGGAAGCAGTAGATTGCGTCATTGCGTGGAATCTCACTGAAAACCGCACAAGTCCATTCGGAGTGTCACGAAGATCTCACGTTCCAGAACTGGGTCGAGACGGAAAGGCACTCCGTGTTGTTGCCTAACCCTAGCGGTTACCAGTAACGGAGTCCAGATGATAAAAAGGAGGTTAGGAAACATATGTGCATCGTGGCAAACGGGAAAAAGGCAAATACCGCTAGTACTCTAGTAGCTAGCTCGTCCTAGGTCATAGCTTCAACTTTTGGACGATACGCGTCCTTAATAAACTATATGGAATATATATAATCTGGTTTTTGCTCTCCAGGCCAATGAGCGGACACAATTAACCGATTATCAGAATAACTGAAAATTTTGTTTATAAATAACTCAGTTTTTATATATGGAGGCAAATCCGGCAGGCCACGCGTGAGCGTTGCACCTTGCACGAGTCTTACCTTGCAGATCAGTACTAACCCGCTCTCCAAGCAAGGAATTGCGTCCACCAAAACAAAATTTCCTTCGCCCCGCGGCCCGCGGCCCGCGGCCCGCGCCCCGCATCCGCTTCGCACTAGTAGAACTAGGAAACGTGCCGGCGGAGGTTTGTCAGGTCAAGTTGTGTGCTCCGGGTCAGCAACGATCACACACTGAGCTCGCGGCCTCGCGCGTCGGCCGCCTGGTCAGGAACTCAGGATGATGCTAGACTACTGTGTGTCAGCAATCGGATAATAATAAAAACTAAAAAACGAGTACCATCAGTATTACTACATTGTCCAACAGCTCGTATACCGTTTCATTATTACAGTACTCACTCAATCCTAAATCATAAGTCGTTCCAACCTTCCTAAAAGAGTCAAAGTATTAAGTTTGACCAAATTTATATAATAAAATTAAAAAATTATGATACCAAATAAGTATCATTAAATTCTTCATTAATTATTTTTTATGGTTTATCTATTTAATGCCATAAATTTTTGTAATTCTCTCTATAATTTTGGTCAAACTTAAGATATTATGACTCTCCAAAAAAGTTAGAATAGTTTATAATTTGGAATGGAGGGAGTATTTATGTAGTTCAGTAAAAAGGGTTGATGTTGCGTGTGGCTCGTTTTCACTAGTGAACGGTGGCGTAGATTCGGCGGGTGGTTGAACAAAGTCCTATTTGGCATGGTTTTAAACAACTCTAAATGGTGTTTGGTTCGCGAAGATGTAACGCTATCTGAATATAAAGCATAATGGAAAGCCATACTCGTAGTTCCTTCATTGTTTCTTAGTTTATTTTGAAAATAGAGATAAAAACGATTTCTAGTTGCGATGCACAAAGGAGCCGAAGCCACAACTGGCCAAAGCTCTACCTGGCCTAAATATACTTCTTTAAAACTAAAAATATTTATTATATTTGACTTTGTATGGTCTTTCTTATATGTCTTTGATCATTGATTTTTAGAACATTTCTTAAGATCTTTCAAATTTATGAGATTTTGCAAATATTTATAAGCAGAACATACATATAACTTATATTATATATTTCCAAAATGAAAATTCGCCCTCTAACTTTTTACCTGACTAATTAGTTGTCTTAGAGTCAAATATTTCTATATTTGACCATTAAAAATTTGTATAGGTTATCAACATGAGGTTTATGTTTTTAGATTCACTATGAGCAATAATTTCATACTCCCTCCATTACAAATTGTAAGTTAATGTGGCTTTTTAAGATACATAGTTATTACTATGTATCTAGAGTTCTAGACATAGTGTCTATGCCTATGTATATATCAAAAGCTATGTATTTAGAAAAGTCAAAACAACTTATAATTTGGAATTAGATGGTGTAATATATACTTTACATGTTGTGATAATACTACATGGATTTTTGAAATTGGTGGTAAAAGTTAGAAATATTATAGAAAGCTTATTCCATCAATTCCAAAATATAAGATGTTTTTAACTTTTCTAGATACATAACTTTTGCTACGCATTTAGATGTACACTATGTGTCTGTCTAGGTATCTATATAATAAAAACAATGTATATAGAAAAGCTAAAAGTCTCATAATTTATGATGGAGGGAGTATTTATATTAATATTTTTATGATTTAATTAACAAACCTTGTAATAAATTATATGTTTTTATGACCGGAGTATTTCTAAAAAGATTGATAACACAAGAACCCATTACTTCTCCTTAAATAGAGAGTGACTTTGGACTTCGTCGCAATGCTTGTAATACAGGATAATTCAGGGGAAAGCTAGGTAGACATTCACAGAGTTTACGTTAAGTTGCTGGCTCGTCATTCTCATTTATGGCCCAAAGCGTACCAGGTAGCAAGAGGGATGGTGGTTAGGTAGCATACAAATTTTGGCAGCAGGGGTGTCGTCCGGAGAAGGATTATGGTCCGATGAGAATGGGGACGGAGAAATGAACATAGATAAAAGAAAGGAAACAAATGTTTGTTCGGCAACTCCTAGATAGGGGTGGTCATAATTACCTAAAATAAAAGATCGAACCAAATTAATGGAGACTGAAACCAAATGCTTCATTAATTTGATCATCGTTTCTAACTAATCATGTTTATTTTAGGTAATTTGGTCTTAGTCCTTGGTTAACCGAACTAACCAAAATTGTTGTTATTTGCATGATGAACTCTTATTATGTTTAAACCTTGAACAATTCAAGATTTATGTCAAGTTGCAACAAATATATTGGTATTAGTGTTATACATTTTTTGTGTTTGTCTTATTATATTTTATACTATTCAAACATGCTTTGAAAAAGGAAAATTGATGCCAAAATTTATCGTTAGAACATGTCTTAAAACTATTTGATTAATTCGGTGCTGACTTGAGATCGAATCGAATTATTTGATCTTCAATAGTTTGTAATGTATTTCAGCCTTATTTTTTTGGATGACCAAAATCTTGAAAAAAGCAAACAAAATTCATAGATCAGATCGAATACCCACCCCCTAGTCCTAGAGTAGGCTAATTCCATAAA